CAGCAAAGCCTGCATCCCATCACCAGCAAAACCTGCAGCCCATTCCTGGCAAAACCTGCATCCCCAGCCAACAGTCCCTGCCCCTGTTTAGGTCCTAGGAGCACCAATCCCCCGTGCTGGCAGTGCCTCCTGTCCCACTGCTGCTGTGCACACAAGGAATGCAGGGTGTTTTAACCAGGAGCAGATGGGGGAGCTCCCCTCCCCACGCACTTTTCCTTTGGCATCTCCTGAATGCTCTCATTAAGATGCTAAGCCTGAAGAGTGCTATTTTATTAGCTACTCGTTGTTGCTTGTCTCCTCAGCAACATGCTATGAAGTTATCAGGAAATGGAGCAAGACAATCTCCTGAATTCCGTGGTCTGGCCAGAGTAACAGCTATGTTTGAAGATTGTTTGACCTCACCCAAACAAATAAATCTGCTTCTTTATTAGGGCTTCCAGTCTGCATGAAGCAGCAGGAAGCTAACACATTTCCCTCTTTATTATACCTCAGCTGCAGTCTCACCACACAAATCAGAAAATCTAGATCTTTAACCGAGATCTGGGTCAATCCAATGTCTTCTCAAAATTAGTATCAGTTTACTTAGCCAGAAAACACTTGGCTATGGTAATAATCTCTCTCTAGTCAATTTCAGACTGAAATTTAAGTTATTTAGTCCAAATTATGCTTCCTGATTTTCTTTACGTTCTTTGAGACTCTCAGAATGGGAACTAAGAATCAAAAAATAAAAAAAATTGGTTTCTAATATAAAAAGATAACATTGTATGGATGCACCTTCCTTCTTGTACAATGCATGTTTCATTATTAAAGAAAACTATCTTAGAAAAGTACTAAAAATCACGTATTTTAGACTTAAAAATTTCATCAACTCTTCAGAATATCAGTGTCTGGTCCAGCCTAAGAAATCTTAGCCAATCTTCATACTCCAGTTTAGACACTGTCCACCATCAAGACACTGGCCCAAAGCAGAACAAATCTGGCCAGCAGCTGAAGTATGCACAGATTACAGTATGAGACACAGTGCTCCTGTTTAGATGCACAGATATTCTGACATATATACTTAGGAAAACCAAAACAATTCATCACTGCAAAAAAAATCCAAATGGGGTCAGTGGCTTCTGCACAGAGAGCCCTGAAAAAACCAAGGTGCTGCTGATGGCATAACTTCATGAACCCACTGCTTTGTTTGCAAAGCTTTACAGCTGTTGCAGGTGAAAAAACACATTATACCTTGACATAACTGATCAATATGTAAACTAATTTTAGCTTCAATAAGTAAGGAGCAGGTAGAAGAAAAATGAAATGGCCATAATAAAACTTACATGAGAGGAAAGTGAAATAAATTACTATCATTAGGAGGACAAAAGACAGATAAATAGGCAGAGAGAGAGAGAAAGCATGTTTGAGAGACACAGACACAGAAGGAGAAGCCAGTCCAACAGTGAAACATCTGAGCATAGGAAGGAAGCTGGGCCTGATCCAGGCGAAGACTGGAAAGCTCTAAGAGGTACTGAGCATAAGCCAGCACCCCCAGATGCCTTTCTGCTACCTAAGGGAATATAAAAATAAACATTTCCCAAAGACCAGAATAGAGGTAGTATTTCAACTGACACTGTCTTTGCTTACCACACTGTTTTTTCATCACAGCAGCGTGGCAGTGAATGGTGAAGCTAAGGTTGGAGAGAGGAGAAATACATCATGCTACCTATGTGAAATACACCCTGCTACTCATGTGAAATACACCCTTATCCATGTGAAATGCACTCCTTATCCATGTGAAATACAGCCCTTATCCATGTGAAATGCACTCCTTATCCATGTGAAATACACCCCCTATACATGTTAAATACAGCCCTTATCCATGTGAAATACAGCCTGCCATCTATGTGAAATACACTCTGTTATCCATGTGAAATACAGTCTTTATCCATGTGAAATACACCCCACTGTCTTTGTGCAGGACATCAACAAGGGGCTCATCCTCTGGTGCCACAGAATTTCCTCTTCTACACATCCCACCTTGTAGGAGACTGTCTCACCCAAGGCATCCCAGAGCTCCATAACCAACTGAGCAGGAGGAAGGGGCTGTTTGGAGATTCCTCCAGGAACAGATGGCCTTGAAGGCAAAGCCCCAGGAAGGCTGCTCTGTCAGAGGTGCTCTGGAGGAGAGATTGTCCTGCTAGGAGGGGACAGCTTGCTGAAGGAGTCAGCCAGAAGGCCCTGGGGGTGACAGGAGTGCCAGCAGCACTTGGCACTCTCCTCTGACTGTGAGTCCCAGCCCCACTCTGTCCCTAAGCTTTCCCCTTCTCCTCAGTAACACAAATCCAACCAGACGTATTTCCAAACCTATCTCCAGCCACTGTTGAATGCTACACTTTCACCTCCAGCTCTGAGCCAAATGCTTGAACAAGAGAAACCTGGAGTAGCTTCTCCTCTGCTCACAGGTGACCTACAAGCACCATTTAAACAGCTTTTTTATAATTTGTAAGAATAAGCTGAACAACATTTTTGAAAAACTGACACCCATAGGTTACATAGGTATGACTCAGTTTACCTTGATACACCTGCACATAACTCTGACTTCAGCAGCATTATGTGGAGACACTTTGCACCTAATGCAAACACCATGGTGCAGGACACATCCACAGGGAATCCAGTAATTTGGGTTCTATTTATGTCACTTCTCTATCATTACTTCAGTTCTTCTTTTCCCACATGGCATGTGGCATTCAAAATCTGATTCCAAAGAAACATTTCTCATAAAATTATAAAACATCACTATTTTTGCACAGGGTTCAAAGAATAAAGAGGAGTCAGTTTTTCGTTGTGTTTCTTCTTTCCTCAGATTATGATTCTACTCCTTCTCCTCTGAAGCATCCAGCAGCACCAGTTTTGCACTGGAATGCTCTGATGAAGCCCATTTTGCAGTGAAGGAAAAGCTGAGGGTTCTTTTGCTGCTGTGATATTCCCACTGCCATAAAAACACAAGTGCTTGAGATTCTGATTTCAACAGAGCAGTTCACCACTTTATTTTTTAGCTCTTCTTAACTGAGATGCAAGCTCAAGGTTGGTCATAGTAATTCACACAACCTTAACTTCTATAAAATTCCTTTGCAGAGGGCCAAGTTCTGTTCACTCTTCTCCACCTGTCCTAGTTTGACTTCATAGTCACACATTAACAAATTATGCTGTAAAATCAGGTATAAGAACTGTAATGGGGAGAAGGGAAGATTTATATCCTCTTTAAACCAGCTGTCCATGTAGGTTTTTATCGAACTAGCATGTACTATGCTGAGTTCTCAGCTAAATCCACCACTAAAATGAGCTCTCCAAATGAATTTCTTTTTCAGTACATTTCATTTCATTTCCCAAATGAGAGTTACAGGGATACAGCTGATGGACTGTCTCACTGAAAATTTCTTTCCTTGAATTTTCATGATTTTGTATTTTTTACAAAAGCAGGCAAATCTTGAGAGAATGCCTATATCCTCTTGGTCCAAAAGGGAACTATTAAAAACCTTGTCACTTTTGGAAGTCATAGTCTGCACAGACAATCCCATTTAAATGAGTTCTGTTCACATTACATTTCTCATTCAGCAATTATTATCTCTTCTCCTGACTTAAACAACTCATTTTCCTCCACTTCACTGTGTCATAAATCCAAATAGCTGAACTCATGCTCCATCTGAAACTTCATTTCATGAGAGGGGAAAAAAAAGGCTGTGGTTGCCTCTTTGGTAAAATTAGCTTCTGCTAATAGCTTCATTCATTTATCCATTTGTTTTATCCTTCCTCTCCCAAGACTGTTACATTTCTAAACTTTTTCTTTAGTTAAACTTTTGATGAAACTTATCAGATATTCTGCCTATCATCTCCACTACTCTGTAGAAGCTGCTCAGCACTCTGAAATCATCTCAATGAGCACTATGCACAACTTCATTTTCCACCTGCCCATAACACTTCTGCACGCCTTTGGGCAGGCCATTAATTAGCCATGGTTGAGTGGGGTCAAACCTTTCTTCTTTCTCTAAAAGCAACTGTTTCTTCTACTTCATCACATGTAAATGGAATGACAGAAAAAAGGCATTCCTAAAACATTTCTGGCACGAGCAGTTCTACTGTATTTCCATCAGCCCATCCATGTACCCATAGGATAAAGCTTTAGGTCTCACTGGCTGTGAGAGATAAGGAACAAAGCAGCACAAGACTCACAGTCTATCAAGGCTCAGACTCACATCATCTCCATAACAAGCCCCCTGTGTCAGCACTGGGGCTGCAAAACTTCCTCCAAACTCATGTCTGGTATCTCTTCTTCCACAGCATGCACACTGCCATGCTGCTCCTCCACCACATCCTTCCTTTCAACCCAACTCAGTGTTTTATTTTTCCACTTTTTGTCTTTTTTTCTTTTGTTCTTTTTCTTCTCCTTTTAGGAAAATGTATTTTTATCCTACAAGAGCCAAGTGCAGTTCCAGAGATTTGATGAATAGGCCCAACATACAGACACATGATTTGTGAGTATCATCAGCCCCATTTATCAGTGTGGAAATGCGTACAACAGCAAAATGCATTGGCTCCCTAAGAATCCCTGCTTCAGTCCCTGGGATAAAATCTGCTCCTCACGTTCTAAAGTCCAAACATTTGTCAACAGACTCAGATTTGCATTTTCTATTTCCTTTCCTTTGTATTCCAGTCAGCTATAGCGCTCTTCCCTTGAGAAATACCAAATTATCCACACTTAATTGATTTCTTATGTTGATATCATTGGCAATGTTAAAACAGAAGAAGTAATTTGAGAACAGAAATGTTAACTGGAATCCAATAACTCTCACAAAGCTGAAAAAACCCAACAATTTGCTCTCCTCCCATACAGTTTAGCAACGACAAAAACAAACAGGATTGCTGTTGTTTGCATTCAAACGCGACAGAGCCATTTTCCACGCTGGTTTTTTAATGGGAACAGCAATGTGAGACAGATAAAGGAGAAGTGGCAGCGTTACCAGAGCAGACAAAGTCCTTCTTCTGCACCTCAGCCACGAGGAAGCCGCGCAGGCCGACGGGCGCCAGGCAGAAGGTGAACTGGCCGATGGTGCGGCGCTGGCGCAGCCAGTCTGACAGCCAGGCCAGGTGGCAGTCACAGTGCAGGAAATTGGAGTGGAGCCGCCTGCAAAACACACAGCAAACCCACGGTCACTGGGGCTTTTAAACAAAACCCACAGAGAGGCACCAACCGCCAGCCTGCCCCGCTCTCTGCTGCCATTTCAGTGGGATCAGAGCAGGTTCTTGCTTACAGATGAGTCAGAGCTTGACTGTCCTCGTTGCCATGGGATATTATAAAAAGGTCAGATATAAATTTGTGCTATTATTTGTAATGTTTTCAAAAAATTAGGTTCAATAATGATCCATGTACAGCTGGTCACTCTAAACACAAAATTACGCAGAATTTAAGATTGCACCATGTAATCACTTTGTCTGTGGTTTCATGTCAGAAAGAACTGCATGGCTGTGATATCTCTGAGTGAATGGCTTGTTAAAAAATGAGAACCAGGCTAAAGAACAGGATGATGAATGATTCTTCCCTCTCCTCCATCCTTTGGGGAGAAGTAGAGAGAGAGAAGTGCTCCACATTAGCTCAGCTGGTTGGAGCATGGTGGTAGTAACACCAAGGTTGTGGGTCTGATCCCTGTATGGGCCACTCAATGAAGACCTGGACTTGGTGACTCTTATGGATTCCTTCCAATTCAGAATATTCTGGGAAAAGACAGGCAAAAGAAAACTCTGGAGGCTATTGATACCATTTCTATGCCTGTGCTGCCTGTACAAGTTCATCAATGCTCTTTTTCCTGTAGTAATTTAACACCAGTATAAAGTATCCAGACAAGAATTTTCAGCTCATAAAGATCCACGCATGGGCAGCTCCCTGCCCAGCCTGGCACCAGGGACTTGCAGAACCATTATCACATCTGCAAATGATGATGGGTTTGGGGAACAAATCTGGTCATTTAAATAGCTACCAAACTTTAGGTCAAAACAAAAGTCCAGGACGTTAATTATTTCATTCCTGTAATGACTCATGCATTTGCAGTGTTGCACCAAATGAAATGATGAACCAGATTAAAAATCCTGTCAGAAATGGTTAGACAAAGCATTATTCACTAATATTACAAGACACAATTGGTGTGCACCAGATTTAGCCTTGTCCATCCCCCAAAGAAATGAAATGTCTCTCTGTGAACTGTCCTTACAGCAAAGCAGCAGCTCAGCTCAGCAGTGGCGCCCAGGCTGACAGTCCCCAGATTTGTATGTCTGGGGTGGACAGCCACAATAAAGAAAGAAAAAAATCCACAAATCTGGAACTGAGAGTTTATCCTGTAGAGATGGAAAGCACTAATCTCCTGGGAGTACTGTAAAATGTAATTGTTCTACAAGGATGGCTAGAAGACCTTGAGTTTAGTGATTGTGAAGCTCTTTAATTGAAGCTGCAATAAGTTAGACTTCCAGTAAAATGTTTGGCTGTTATGAACCATTAATCTGCCCTTTTGTTGAAGAACAAATAAATGCATAAATATCATCTAGGCAGAAATTATCCCAAGTAAGAATTTGTTGTAACCTAAGAGAGTCAGTGTTTCATTTAAGTCCTCAGTGTCTCACCCTTCCCACCACAGCAGTGAACAATGACACTCAGGATCACCTTCCTGCTGGAACTGAGCTCATCCCATGCCATTCCTCACATTCCCCATGCAGGCATGAGTGAGAAAAGCACAATTTCACAAAAAGGGTTAGGGTTAGGCAGTTTTCCAGTTCTGTGAGCTGGATTTTTTCTCTCACTAAATTGACTTATCTGGGTTTTGGGGGTTCCTGTTTCAGTAGTGCAAACCACCAGCTCTCTGCCTCAGCAGAGCCCTTCTTGTCACCGCCTCAAATCTTTTGGCACAGCTACTCCATGGTTTGCTTTGGAGAGGAGATCATTTAGAGACCCTGTCTCAACAAAGCAGCCTACCAAAATATATTTTTGATAATTATATTAATAAATACAGCATCAGGAAGACTTTTCACAGTACTTCAAAAGCATTATAAACCAATTCCCTGGGAACACAAAAAACACTAAAGTGCTTTAACATTTTCAGTTTACTCTTAAATAAAAAAATTTAAAGAAATAATGTGATTACCTGCCTCAGCAGTAATTCACAGATGCAGAGACAACAGGACACTTACCATTAAGCAAATAGGTATAGGGAACATGCTTTATCATAAATAAAGCTGTTTCAAGCAAAGGAAAGCAGATCAATAAAAACTAATTCCTGTCACTTCCAATCAAGGCTAAAAATCAATGAAACTTAAGAACAGAAAAGACAGTTAACTAAAAAATCTTAGTACAGAAGAGCTGATTTCAGTAAAGAATTCTTCAAATGCCTCAAGACTTCCTGGCATTTTCCCCTTTTTCTTCTTTCCCCTGAGTGCTCATGTTGAAGGTTAATATACTTTTTATATTTTCTTCTACAACAGGCAGATTGTTTTGAGAGCCACGAAGAAAAGCTGTTTATTCACAGAACCATCAGAGCACAGGTAGCTGCAGCAGGAGCATCCCCAAATGCCCTGTAATGGATCTCACCAGAGTGTAAAAGGCACACAAAGGAAAACACTGTCCACGCTGCTTTGGGCCTCAGCTGATTGGAAAAAGAGCTCATCCCTACTTAAGGAACATTCAGACCAGGGATTTCCTACAAAAAAACTTCCAAAAAAAGCACATCTAAGTGTGAGGCTGGTTGAGAAGGTGGACACACTGATGACCATTTTTAAAGAAAACAGCAGACTCACCAAACTGTGAGGAACATCATTCATGACCCATTTCCAGCAAGAAACTCTAGAGAGTATCAACATCTTCCCCCAAACAGTATCTTTATACAAACTCCTTCGTTTACCTGCTAGAGGTACTGTGAATTACTTGGCAGTCTTTGGAGATTGAAACCTGTCATTATATATTGATGAAACTGACTTCACAGAACATCAGCTGAATGAATACAAATGCAAGTTTGCTAAAGTTGCCCTTTTATCCATAGACCCTAAATTAAATTTCCAGCAAATCCTTTTAGAGTGGGGCAGCATTCATGTTCTATAAAACGTGTCTCTCAGAATTCAATAGAAAAGCTTCCCTTTATAAATCCTATTTATGACTTCCTTCCCTTTTTTTTTCTTTTCTTTTTTTTCCCCTTAATTACAGCAGAGGGGGATTAGTCAGTGTACGTCTCCAGGGAGCTATATACAAAGCCATCTCTGAAATTAAACTAAAAGGAAAATGGCAGAAGGCACTGAAGGCACTGAGCTCTGCTAACACACAAGACTGGCTAATCTGGAAAAGCCAGGCAAATTTTCTGGACCACTGTGACTGAATAAGAAAAGGCAAAACTCCAGGAACCTTAACTCTACACCTTTATCTTCTTTAGCCATTCTCTTCTGAAAGACAAACATCTCATTTCCGTTTAATTACTTACATTAAGATCTAATAATGTCATCATTTGATAAAGAATGCAAATTTAAGTCAGAGGTTATCTTATAGAGATTGACATAAGCAAGAGCAGTTTTTCTTCAGTTCTGTTAAATTATTTAATATGATTTTACACATGTATGTGTAGCATCCTTGAAGTACTGTATTTTTTCAGTGGCACAGAAAATTTTCAGACTAGCTACTATTTCCCTTTCTTTGCCTTCACAATTAAATACATCTTGGATGAGTTTGAGAATCTGGAAGAAAAACAGGGGTGCTTTGTTTAGACGTGGCTTTTCCTGAAGCTATGCACTCCCTAAAGGAATTTAAAGAAATAATTTACTTAAGGAAATGGTTTTGGTAGGCTATGGCTAAATTATACAAATGCTTAGTCTAATTTCACAGTCTTTGTATTTTGATCTACTAAAGAACAGAGCTTTTCCAGTGCAATGGCATGCAGCTCAAAAACAAATGGATTTGATATAAAAGAAGCTTTTATAAAAAAAATCCATCAGAATAAGTGACATTTTGTTTCAGAAGGTATCTGGAAAGATGCTTTTTTCATGTTCTTTAAAAATGCCTTGTTTCAGAAATTAGAATTTTGAATTTGAAAAGAATAAATGAGATTTAAACACAGGATATTAACAAAATTCAATAATTTGATCAATCTGAGCATTTTTTATGAACTTGCTGATGCTCCAGCTTGGAACACATTTCACATTATGGATTTTCCCATGGGGGAAAAAAAAAGCCATTTTATTTTCCGGGTAAATTAAAAATCTTGATAAAACTGACTCTTCCTTAATTCTGGGCAGATCCAGAGCAGTGGCTCCCAGGGCTCTGTGGGCACCAGCCCCCTTCACAAGCCTACCTGAGCTCCCCTGGGCTTCCCCAGCCCTGCAGCCACCCTGGCCCCTCAGGCAGCCTGGGGGACTGAAATGAGATTATCACAGAGGACAAATAGCCAAAAAGTTGGAATGTATTATACATCAGGAATGTATTATAATAAGAGAAGAGCTTACTCACAGAGTTCTGATCTTTGGCATGTGATTGAAGCTGGTAACAGGAATGCGGGTGATGTTGTTGTTGTTGAGAGTACTGTTAGGAGAGAAAAAAAAGAGATAATAATAGCTCGATCAATTATTTTAATTTCTTCACCAACACAACATTTACAGAAACAATCAGTTAAAATTCTTGGCAAGCAACAAGACACAGTCCCCGATAGCTGTGACAATTTGTGACATACCATGAAAGATACTGCTCAGGGAAAGCAACCAAGAGCAGCCTCAGGATGGCTGAGGTCACTGTTTACCACGCCTGGGTAAGGGGGGGTACAGAAGGTAAGTTTTTACCAACTACTGGAATAGATGCAGACCTGTCTGTTTGTTTGATAACCTGGTGCAGCCTGGGCAGGGGGACATCAGACTTGGGCCCAGCACTTAAAGGCATTTGGAAGGATTTTGAAGTAGTGAGACCAAAAGAGAGCTGTTGGCTCTCACAGGCTTGTTAGCACAGCCCACTGACACGGACAGACAGCTCCCATTGCTCCTCAGAAACACATGGATGGATGAGCTCCCTCTCCTCCCTTTCCTCAGGAAAAAATATATGGGGAGTGGAGCAGCCTGTAATAAAGCATGTCGTGACCCAGGCACAGAAGGATTGCTGCTGCTCTGTCAAAGCAGAGCCTAAAGTGAAAATCTCAGCTGCTGGAGGACCCCTTTAGAGCTTCTCAGGAAGAATGAACTGAGATTACCATCAGCTCAGTGTGCTGCTCCCATTTGTGTAGCTCCTAATTATATCAATGACTCTCCAGCAAATTAGAAACCATAAAGTTTATCAAGATAGCACAGGAAATGGAAAGCACTTCAACAGGGCATAATTGCCATGCTGCAAGTGCACCAAATCTGCAAACACAGTAGCCCAGTTTGTCATAAGAATGGACAGGGCTGGTGACCACTCAGTGTCCCAGCATGGCCAGTCCTGCCACTGCCTGTTTGAAACATGTGGTGTCCCCAGCACCAGGGCAAGGAGCAACCTCTGCTTTCCACAAGGAGCACAAAATTCCACAGGGTCACTGGCAGAAGACAGTGCTTTTGTGTGTTTATGAATATGCTGAAGAATGCATAAATACCTCCCTGCCGAAGCAACCTAACAGTATGTCATCCTTCCCTGAACTACTTAGCTATTCCAATGTCATGTATTTATTTAGGGCATTTAGTCAAAAGCTCTAGAAAAGTCTTCCAGGAGTTTACTCTCTCTCTTGGTCATCTGCCAACTCAAAAACCATTTTTACAATTCTGCCTAGAAATCCCTTGGCAAAGCCATCGTCTAAAACATCAGCAGATTACAGCTAATTAGATTTTACCCTATTAAGACTGGGGTTTGGGTACACAGGAAGACACACACACACACACACACACACACACACACACACACACACATATTGGCAAAGCCAGGAGGTTGCAGGGTGCCCTGGGTACCCTGGCTGTGCACAGGCACACTCAGGTGCAGGGTGGGAGCAGCTCTGACACTGGCAGCTCGTTTTGCTGCTGCTGCTGTGCTGCATCCAGTCAGGACAGCGCCCAAGCACTCTCAGCAGGATCAGAGCTGGTATTCCAGCACAGGGCTACACCAGATGGATGCACTGGGAATCTGGAGCCAGTTTGGGGGCTGACATAGCCATGACAGCAAACTGCACCAACAGAGCAAAATTACCCTTCCTTTCCAAATCTATGAGCAGAGAGAGTTATGCCAGTAAAAGCAGAGTTTTGAAAATCTGGAATCTGCATGTGAGATCTGCTGCCAGAGATCTGCATCAGTCAAGTCACACATGTTCACACACCAGGCTGGTAAGAGCTGTCAGTCTTAGCACATGATAACTTAGAGTATAACATGTAGTATTTATTCCAGATCCTCTAGAAAACTTAAAGATATTAAAAATTGGACAAGAAACACACAGCCACATATTGGGACCAATGGGTGTACAAACCACTGGGTTTGTGGACTCAGGTTCTCAATATGCAAGGACTCCAAGGCAGCCTACTAAAAATTTAAAGGGCAAGATGAAGTGGAAGTAATGTCAACTTCAGGAGGAGAGCTGGAAGTCAGCTCTTGGAGCTGCCAGCCCCTCTGCCAGCTGTGCCTGCCAGCCTGCAGGGCTCTGCTGTGCTGGGGCTGCAGTGCTGGCAGCGAGCACCCCGAGCACCAGTGTCCACCTGCAGGGCTGGAAGCTCTGCCTCTCCATCCCTGCTAAGGTCACAGTGACAGCTCACATCCCACTGGGGCAGATTACAGGGTGCAAAATGAACCTCTCAGCCCTACAATTGCTTGTGCTCCATTCCCTTATTCACCCAGTGATGTAGCCGAAGTCTTTCGTGGTCAATGAGCTAAAAACAGGCCTAAACAATTTCAGAAAGTGAACAATCCCACTGAGAGTGCATGAATATATACATCAACACACACACCCTTCAGTATCTGTATGTGTTTGCTCTTTACATGCTGGGAAGTTCAAACAGGGCTCAGAAATGGAATTTATAATTGCACCACCACTTTTTTTTTTCCCTGTAAACATAAAAATATATAATTCTGAGGCAACCCTCTGCCTTAGTTGCCTGTTACTTTGAGTTATGCACTCAGATGGAAGATTTTAGGTATGCAGTGATAAATAAAAGCCACATGTAAAGTCAGCTCACAAACATTAAATCACAGACGTAGCTGATGTCTGAATCAGTCACATATGGCACTACAGGAGTCAATGGGGGCCACAGGAATTCAAGAGAGATTTTTCTATTGATTTCTAAAGGATGTGGATTGGATTCAGGCAGAACAGGCTGTGACAGTGAGCTTCCTTCTGCACTGAGGGCAGAGAACATCCCAGTCTCCCAGTGCAATTCATCTGCATGCAGAAAGGTCACCCGTGAATGTCTGACTTGATGATTCAAATAACTTTTAAAAGTTCTTAAAATATTTCTATTTAACGGATTAAGCATTATTCAAATCACACAGCATTTCTGCTCACAAGATATCAAAAGAGAGTGGCTCAGGTTTTGCAAAGGTTTCAAATACTTGCTTATTTTCAAATAATCAAAGGTTTCCCACAGTTCATTGACAAATATATAACCCTCCTTCTAAGAATCCTAAATCAGTGCTGAATTAATATTCTCCTTAAACACAAATTTCAGGGATAACTCTAGCAGACAGCTACTGCACAGATGACTTAGTAGAATACTATTTCATTGATATTTAAATGTTACCCATAATGAAGGCAATAAAACATCTATGATAACAGCAATTATTTCAGAACAGAGGAGGCCAAACACTGCAGAAGGCACTAATTGCCAGTGAACTGTCTGCACTACAGCCCAGCTGGAGCTGCAGGACTTTAACCCTGCTGCTCTGGCTGCACATCACTCAGCTCCCAGGCAGTGGGAACTCTGGAATGGGAACATGTTCAGGTAGAGATGTGCTCTAGGGAGATCCTGCAAAGCTTTCCATCATGCACATGATTCCTTCCCAGCAATGATTTTTTAAGAGATGTGGCCTGACAGAGGTGAGCACACAATACAGCAGCATTTTTAGTACACAAAGGGAAAAAATAAATGACACTCCTGTAGTCTGCTGGCTGCTCCAAGGTCCCAGCCTCAGATTAATCCATCCAAAATTCAAATCTATAGAAAGAGATCCATAAATACCAGGAATCAGTGAGAAACAGGAATTCCAGAATCTTCTGACTCTTCCAACATCATAAGGGAACACATATTCTGCTGAGTGGTCCTCAGCCTTAAACATCCCATCTCTTCCAGAACCCAACATGTCCCTTGAAAAAGCACTGTCCTCTCATTTAGAAGCCCTCTCCCTGTAAACTATTCACACCCCAAATGCTGACTCAGGAGACTGGGGTTATAGACAATATTATTTATGCCAGCCAACTTCCCACCTTGGGCTGTGATCCTTGTCAGATCTTGCAGGGTAAGCAGAAGCAGACTGCAGCAGCCCTAAGGATCCTCCAAGGACTACTTGGCTGATGCATAACGTGAGCTCAGCAGTCTGGGAGGTGGCACATCCTCCAGCACTGTGAACTGTCAGAGTCCCACTGACTCCAATTTACAGCCCCAGAGGAGCTGCTCTCCTAACTCACTGCTCTGCCACTCGCCCAAACGGGATACAAGCACACGTGGAGCTGCCTTCCTCCTTCTGAAAAATAAAGCTGATTTATAGCCCCTACTAATCAGAATTTTCCTAGAGGAAAGAGTGCTCAGTCTGCAATTCTGTCAGTATTTGAAAACAATTACTTATCTCCTTCCTCAAACTTTTGGTGCAAATTTAATTTCATGCAGTTGCATTTTTGTTCTCTTCTGACTTGCTCCAAATTCATGAACGCCACTGCAGTTCCCTGACATAGAGCTGGTAATTCCAGACTCAATGTAAATGCATTAAAATCACTAACCTGCAGAAATGAATGGCACGTCTGTGGTTTTTTCTGTAATTTTAATGCATTATTTTTTATTCTTCTTGCACAGGACTGATGAGAGACAGGAAAAAAAGATACTAGAGGAAATCATACAAGTTTTATGACAGGCCTTGAGAAAAAAGGAAACTACTCAAATTTTGAACCCTACTAATAGTACAAGTATTTTATTTTAAAAACTCAGAAACTCTAAGCACCCTTTCAGGTCCCTTGGACTAATTCAGAGAGCAGAAATCCCAGGCTGTCTGGTCAATATTCAATCTCAGTTCTGTAAATCACAGACTGCATGGAGATTTTGCTTCCTTTACTTAGAATTCAATTAATATAATTAAAAGCATATAATAAACATCAGAATACCTGTCAACTTTTTCATCTGAAAACATACTTTCATGGGCAACATATCCAAGTGCTCTAATCTGGTTTGGTACCAAAAGGATCTCCTCTGACAGAAAATGTTACACAACACAACAGCAGTATTTGAAACATTAAGCATTTAGTAAAAAGTGACCATCTTCCAGTTTTTCTGTCACACTTCAAGTCGGAAAATTGGAGTTTTTGTTTTACACACAACACTGCTAACAATACCACCTGCTACATCCCAGCTTAAAAAAATTTTTTGTATCCTAGTTGA